TAGTTATTGTCTCATAAATGATTTTTGATGGAATATATCTCAACAAATGAAGAAATTACTTCCCACTCCAATGAGCTATTTTTGATATTCACATAAAAGATCATCATTGCATTTCAAATTATTGAGATCTCTGTTCTGTAGACATTTCCATCATTTATTAATCTAAGTTTCAAGAGACTCTTAGGGGAGTTTCTAAATAATATTATGTAATAAATAATAATGTAGTCAGCTCATTTTTTATCGCTTGTCAATTAACAGGGCTGGAAAAAACATGGATTTTACTGCTATCTGATTGGACACACGCTTTCAACATTTACAGAAGCAAACAAAACCTGTGGGAATGAGAAAGCTTATCTAACGACTGTTGAAGACAGGTATGTAACCACTTTAATTTTAAGATACGTAATATGGTGAAAACTTTTCAGAAACATCTAAATATGGTTGAAAGTTTAGAGTAAATTATAAATCATTTTAGGTATTATAGGTAAAGGTAAGAGCACTGAAATATTATCTTTATCCTAAACCTAAATTATGCTACCCATAGTACTACAAAGCAATGTTCAGAACAGTGACTTTATGAGAATTTAGTACATGTAATTAAAAGATAGAACTTTTAATGTTAGAATATGGAGTTACACATTGGGCTGCTAGCCACGAGGTCGGCAGTTCAAACCTACCAGCCTCTCTTTGGAAGAAAGATGAGGCTTTCTGCTTTCATAAAGATTTAGTCTTAGAAATCCCAAGAGGCATTGCAGTTCTACTCTGCCCTACAGGGTTGCCACAGGTCAGAGCTGACTTGTCGCGAGGGCGTTTGGCTTTTATCTTGTGGGAGCATAGCGCCATAATGTGGAAGCAGGAAAGTGAGTCGCATTTGCCAGCGGAAAGACCCACTTCCTCTCTTGACCACTCCCTCCCATAATAAAGGTACATTTAGACTTGCCATTTTCTTTGCTAAGTTTACCAGAATGATAGGAAAGAAAGTTCCTGGGACCTAGCAAATGTAAGATAATCGATCATTTGTTACATGCCCCCGCCATATCCTTTTGAATACAAAAAGACACATGGGTCAAGTCAGATTGACAGCATAGATAGCCAACAAGTTTCCCACAGGGTTGTGGAGAGCAGGGCCTTCTCAGCGTGCAGGTCTGTCAACATTACGGAGCACAGGGACCTGGCTCCAGTGAGCTGGGCTCCCTGTGGCCGAGGCACCGGTTTGGCCACCTGCATTTTAGAGCTTCCAAAGTGATGCTTAGTCATTCGCCAGATATGGAAATCACCGGATGAGGGCATCTATGGCCGGCTGGCTGAAGGCCTTCCCCGGAGAGTCTACGGTTCCTGTATTTGTTCAATAAATGATAAAAAATCAATAACGAAAACACGAGAGACCTTCATAGCCCAAGTCCGGAAGACATACATCTTAGCTGTATGCCTCATATAGTGATAAAGCCACTGCCATGCACCGTGCCACCGGGGCTCCTTCGGATACTGAATAGCACAAGTTCCCGAAGCCCTAGACGAGTCAGCATGAGGTGAACCCAACCAGGCAAAATATAAGAGATACATGGGTGGATTTCTGTTTCCAAATGAGGCAGTTACGTAAGCCCAGGATATGCGCAGTGTGGATTAGTTTGTCTCTTTACGTGAATGGAGTTGGGGTTTTAGAAACGAATTAGAAGCTTAGGGTGAACTGATGCTCTCCCTGGTTTTCTGAGTGAAGGAAATTCACTATTTTCCATTTCTAATTCAACTCTCTAAAATTCAAACCTTTTGCTACTGCACTCGACTCTGATTGTAGATTGGGACATTTCATTCCATATGGGGGCTACGGTTGAAAATGGGCCTTCACTGCTGTGGAGGAACAGCAACGCTGAGAACTATCCCCGCGGCTTAGTGACTAGGGCCATGGTTGAAAGTCCTGGGCTTATTTAGGTTGGAAAAATCTAACAACAGACGCAATCGTGGTATGCAATGGCTTATTTTCCCGGCCTGCTTGTTCTGATCAGGGCCGCAGGAGGACATCCGAACAAACAGGGTGTAAGATTTCATCTCAGGAAAAGAGCACTTTTAGCGACAGCTTCCAAGGATCCTCTTAGAAATGGTGCGTTCAGGGATTCCAGGCACTGAACGCACTTCCCTGGGTGCTGATGTGGGTGAGGGGGTTATTTTGACCTCGAAGGTCTCATCCACCGGAAGAGTGTGTAGTTATTGATTCATAGTGAATTCCGACTCATAGTGATCCTACTGGACAGGGTAGACCTGCCCCCAAGCTTTCCTGCAAGCCCCCAGGTCTTGTCTCCTGCAGAGGGACTGGTGGGTTTGAACGGCTCACCTTTTAATTAGCAGCGGAGCACTTAGCCATTACACCAGCAGCGCGCCTTTTTAAGAGTGCAGTGCTTAGTTATGGTCCACCCTCTCTTTGCAAAGCTCAAGGGCAGACGTAAAGGGGGCCCATTTCATTTGCAGTAAAGAAATCATGAATTATTGAGTTAACACAGTACATTCTGTTTCCGGTCTCCCAAGATGAACCCAGTACTCATTTTGGGGAAATGTTGATATAAAACAATTGTTGGGTAAAAATGAAAGTTGTCATAGGATTCTCACAGTCCCCTTTTTTGCATGTGTCAGCAAGCTAACTTTATTCTATAGGCAATATAGACTCCATGCACGTTTTCAGAATTCCGTTTTTTCTTGTCAAGCTTTTTTTGTGCAATATAGAAAACTGAATAGCCAAGAGCAAAAAGCAAAGGACACAACAGGCATCCAGAATCAGTTTGATGATTTGATAATTACAGTTTGACACATCTTTCTACAGCCTGTGTATGTATATAAATGACTGACATACAATTTTAGGTGATTAAGCTCACACTGTATGGGTTCATGCTTCTGTTTCCCACACCATGAATATTTAAAAGTCCCATAGTCCCAAAGCCATGAGTAAATTTGACACGCAAGAATATCATCTGCTGATTCAATCAGAAAAAGAAACAAACGAACAAAAATCCCCTGGGGAGGAGAAAACAATTCCTAAAAGAGAAAAAACGGTCAACAGGTCTCTCACATACTCTTTATAAAAAAACTTATCCTTAAGCAATATATTCTGTCATGGACAAAATTAGTTCTGTGATGTAATACTAGAATCGAAGAGTCAGAGCACAGATACTTTTAATCTTAGGAGAAGAAGGTGAACTGCTCATCTTTAAGAACCCTAGGAATGTGCTCAGAAGCTCTGGTGGCCTAGTGGTTGGTTACATATTGGGCTGCTAAACTCAAGGTCAGCAGTTCGAAACCACCAGCTGCTTCTTGAGCAAAAGGCGAGGCTTTCCACTGTAAAAAGTTACAGTTTCAGTTCGACCCTGTCTGATAGGGTCCTTATGAGTCAGAATTGACTCAATGGCAGTGAGTTCTCTTTCGAAGTGTGCTGAAGCTGCATTGTAAGTGACCTTCTGGCCTATGGATGCACTCTACACGACATTTTAGGTTTGGTTTTAAAATTGTTTTCTTTTATTTAATAGTCAGCAGCTCAGAAGCTGTTGAGAAACTCAGCTTTCAGACATTTAAGAACACTTCATTAAGATAGAAGTTTTCATTTGGGGGTTTGTTCCTTTATGGACTGAAACTAATCCAGCAGCAGTGGTTAACAAGCATTGGGTGGTTAACCACAAGATCTTTGCCTCAAAGCCACCGGTCACTCGGTAGGAGAAACAGGAGGTTGTCTGCTCCTGTAAAGATGCACAGCCTCAGAAACCCTGGGGAATCAACCAATAGCAGTGTTGTTGTTGTTGAAGAGCCAAATGTATGTCTGTTATGATCAGCCCTGTCTATATTTCCCCCTGACTCTCTTTGGAATCATGTATGGTTACGTACTTCCCTGAAACACTGGACACCACTTTCTTTTCCTTCAAGGGTTTCCACCCCCCATTTCTTTTTCTTATAACTACACTACTATGCACCCTGTATTTCTAACTACACAAATTTCTTCTAACATAGTTTATGTTTGTCAGTCATATTTTCTCTCTCCCAGATGATAACAAATAGGTAGAGGAAAACAGAGAGAAATGTGTGGGAGTTTGTGGTTTTGCTACCAATACTTTCCATGTTGGTCTCTGCTTTTCTCTCTCTCTCGATATTTTCTCTCATTCTTGTTCTCTTTTTTCTTCTAAACTGAGATCTGAGCATGGAATTGAAGGGATTTGTGTACAGTTTTCCATTTATATTATTAATAATATCAAGTAATATTATTCTTGATAATATAACTCAATTTGGTTCATCAAGAGTTGATTTACAGTATTTGACCTATTTGAAAAGCAGACTGTAAACCTATTTGATTTACAGTATTTGACCTATTTGAAAAGCAGACTGCACTTGTAAATAAATTATTTAGGAATGTGATCCTATTTGCCTGTGTGTTTTCAGAATTCTCTTATATTGCAAGGAATAATGTGTTTGGGGACAGATAGAAGGGCTGATAAAGAACCAAGCAACATATACAGAATCTATTTGAAGGATTTTATCCACTCAGCTAGCTCTATGACACTTTCCTCTTTCATGTTTCTTCATACAGATTTTCACAACATATATTGCACAAACATTTAATGAAAAAATTTGAATTACCAACTAACTGATATCTCATTAATAGCACTGAGATATTGTTCATGTTGATAATTAGGAAGCAATTATACAAAACACTTTCTCTAGAAGTTATTTCTATACTTAATTATAATAAGAATTGTGTTTTTCAAAGATATGAGCAAGCCTTTCTGACGAGTTTGGTTGGACTGAGACCTGAGAGATATTTCTGGACTGGACTCTCGGATGTACAAAGCAAAGGCACTTTTCAGTGGACCATCGGAGAAGAGGTTCAGTTCACCCACTGGAACTCGGATATGCCGGGTAGGAGGCCCTCATGCAACCCACTTGTCTGTCCTGCCAGCCATGGTTCCATGTGGGACTAGATTGTGTAGATTAATTATGCTTTTAGTAATACCTTGTATTTCTTTCTCCCTTGTTTTGCCTTCTTTCTTTTTGACTTCCCATTTATTTTTCGATGTCCTAAGGTCAGGAAAAAGACAAACAAAAACAAGAGAAATTTGTTAGACTATCTGATGGACATATTTAAAAAATACTTATGAAATGCTAGATGGTCACCAGTGTCCTATGTGGAGCATTTGCTTCTGAAATCTAAACACTGCATTCTGCTAAAGGAATAGAAAATGTTTCCCCTCAACTCTGAAGACAGACAGTAGTGCGCCTGGGTTGTGGAGCAAGCGGTAAACACGACACTCCTTCTTGGATGTCTTCTATCGGCTAATCTGGTGATGCCACGGTTCCACCCTTGCTACTAACTGAAAGGTTGGTGGTTCAAGCCACTTGGAGCTCCACGGAAGAAAATCGTGACCCTCTGCTTCCATGAAGACTTCAGTCTTGGAAACCCACGAAAGGGCAGTTCGACACTGTCCTTTAAGGGTATGAGAATTTGGAATCAACTCAATGGCCATGTTTGAATTTCTGTTGATACCTTTAAGTCCAAAACATAACTTTGAAACCCACTCTCACTGTATCAATTCCTCCTCATCGGCGACCCTACATAGGGTGACCATGGCTGCAACTCTGTCCAGGAGCCGAGAGCCTCATCTTTCTCTGGAGGAGCTGCTGCTGGCCTCTAACTGCTGACCTTGTGATGAGCAGCCCAACATATCACTCACTGCACCACCAGGGGGATTTATTTCATTCCAGGAGAAATGGGCAAGCTTAAGTTTAAATATTTTCCTTTTCATGATGAGAAACTGGAACTCGGAAAGTTTATGTGACGAGTCTGCTCCTGAGCACAGAGCCAGACGCCACTCTGGGCAGCTCTCCCCTCGGTGCTGTTTGGACCAATGCCACTCCGCCTCCCTGTAGATTTGTCTCTGCCTTCTGCATGGGAGGGTCTCAATAATTTATACGAACGAGACTGAAAAGTACTCTTCGTGTGCTGATATGACCAGTGCCTATCACATTATATGAAGCTTTTCCAAAGCACTCGTGCAAGAAGGGAATTATAAAGTCATGGAATTCTTCCACCAACATTTTGGAGTCCCCTCGTGCAAAATGAAAAGAAGATATTCAGGAGAGTCAACATTGCTTAAAGCAAATGCTTTGTTGTACACAGGCGGAAAAGGTAGAAAAAGAGGTGTTCCCATATGAATTCAATACTGGGCTTCACAAATACAAACCATAGTTTCTCTAGTTTCTGTTCTCAACTATCAGTAAGGAAACAAAATAGTAATTTAACACTGAACTTTTTGAAAAACTAGTCAAATTTCAATTTTTTGTTTTTTATCACGAGAACAGATTCAGAGCTGACTGCATTCTTTCTTCTATTTCTGCTGATTGGAGTGGTAAGTCTTACCTTTTAGGTGAGACTTTCACTTGGCCAGCGTTGCTCTTTCAGCAGTAGGAGTCTGAGAGGCTCATCCTGACATTCTTTAGGGAACAAAGCGGAGTCCAGGGGGAGCCACAAGTTAGTGTGACCGACCTTAAATTTTCTGCTTCATTGGAGGCTGGTGGCGCTCTCTTGAGGAAGGCTGTCCTTGCTGCCCGAGGGTGCAGCGTTAGGCACAGTGGGCACCGGAGCCGCTGGCAACACTGTGGCATGTGGTGGGATGACAGATGCGGCAGTCTCAGTCATCAACTCCGGGGTGAGCAAGTGTCGTTGTTCGGTACTGCCGAAGGAAGAGGACTAGCCACAGGAATGAGAGAACGGAGACAAGGATTTTAGATAAAACTTTGGGAAGGGCTTACCTTCCCAAGACGTTGAGAATAACGTCTCAACAATAGCTCTGGACATAACGATCATAAAAAGCTACCTCCGATGAACAACAGCGTGCTCAAACTTACCAACAGTGGGGAGGAGGACATAGGACTGGATGTTCTGTTCTGTTGAGAGTCGCTGTGAGTCAGAACCGTCTCTTTGGCAGCTAACAGCATGAGCAACACGGAATTCTGATGCACGTACAGCTCTGTCTCGAGGACATTGTGGAAGTAACCATGACGGTACGACAGAATTACAAATTTGAAGGGTAGAACAGTCTTCATTGCGTATGATGTATCCACCACAACTCTCTAACGTCAGTGGTGACCCTTGATTTTACGATGGAACAAAATCAGAATGATTCTCTGACTCAAGTGTGTTTGTCTTTGAAGTGTGGCTTCATCCCACTGCCCACAGAGACCTCCATGGACCCTACGAATGGACTCTAAGAAGTTTAAATCAGAAAGAAACATCGCGCGATTATTTTTGCCATGAAGGCAAATTTTACCATACTAACATAATGTAATCATGGAGGGTGTATGGTAAACTATCCTTCTAGATAATGGGGAGACAGACTATTATGAAAACCCTTACATTTTGAATCATCACTCAGTTGGGGATATCAGGCACACAAACGGTAAGTAAATGTTCAAAATAGCTCCTGTCCATCGTCGAATATTCCAGCTCCTCCTTTCTCACATAGACTTATTTCACCATACCCTCTGACTCCATTTACAGAGTGTCTTCTGAGAGCGTGCTCCGGCTTTTAGCCAGCACCAGTTGAATGAATCCCACTTTATGCTTCTGTGCAGGACGGAAAGCAGGGTGTGTTGCCATGAGAACGGGAAGTGCAGGGGGACTATGGGAAGTTTTGAAATGTGAGGAGAAGGTAAAATTTGTGTGCAAACACTGGGCAGAAGGAGTCACTCGCCCACCAGAGCCGACCACGACTCCTGAGCCCAGATGCCCAGAGAATTGGGGCACCACCAGTCACTCAAGCTTGTGTTACAAGGTAAGGAACAACTCTTAAACTGGGGATGGATTGGGAATATGCTTGAGGCTGAGGAGCTAATTCAGGAATTTTAAAATAGTAACCACACCAATGTCCAAGCTGAATCCCGGGACATGCCAGTTTTATTGGTCTGGAGGGGACTTGGGCAATGGTGTTTAAAGAGTTCTTTGTGGGGGTGGAAGCTAACAGCCAGCTAAGGTTGGGACCCATGGCATTTAGGCCAACCAGGAAGCCAGAGCTGCTGGAAGCCTCTCCTCCCATACTCCGCAGGTTTCACCCCTCTCTGAGTCTTTCCTTTCTCCAAGGCTTTCTCCGTCTCGTCTGCACTCACATGTCTTCTCCTGTGTGCTGACATGTCTCTTCTCCGGTATGCTGAACTAGTTCATCTCATGTGTGTCCTACGCCTAGAGCCAAGCATTAATCAATTGATAATTAATTACCAATTAATTGATAATCAATCTCTAATAAGGCAGCATATGCATTCAAGAAGTCCTGCTCCATTTTTGCTCCCGACTTCACCCCAGATGATCAGAATGATGGGAGATTAAAACATTGATACATAGGGGCACATGACCTTTCGGCACCCTTTGAATGGCAACTTGAAGTTCCTCTGTTATTTTATATATTCCTAGGTTAGACCATCCATTTTCTCTGTGTGCAATCAAGTTCAGTGAAATAACCAGCCAATCAGACAATGCAAAATAGAACTAAAACGGGAAACAAATAAACCAACAAAGGACCCAGTGAAGTATGCATTTGGGTCTTTTTTTCTCTCGTAAGTTAAATATTTTCTAAAGAAGGTCACACTTAGCCAAATACAGAATATCTTCTACTTAATGATATCCTTCTTTAAAACTCTGCTTTCTGAACTTTCTTTGATTCAAGCCCTCGAAACGCACTAACTATAAGGAGCCCTGGCGGTGTAGCAGTTAGACATTTGACTGTTAACCTCGAGGTCGGCAATTTGAAACTACCAGCCACTCCACTCCGAGGAAAAAAAGATGGGGTTACCGACTCCCATCAAAAGCTACAGTCTTGGAAACCCACAGGGGTTTCCTGTCCTAATCGGGCTGGTATGAGGCAGCATCGATTTGATGGTGGGGAGAAAGGAAATATGTCCATGGCATGCCCGCTAGGACTGTGAGGCACGGCCGATAAAGAACAACTGGCATGGCTAATTTGCATCGGGATGAGATTGCTCCATCTTGTTTAGTCCCAGGGGGATACGGCCAACTGTTGAGTTGGTCACTCTTACTCGTAACAACAAAAGATCCACGAACTGTTCAATCCAGAAAGGTCGGTCAAGAGTAAAGTTTGGTTAAAAAAAAAAAAAAAAGAGTAAAGTTTGGTGTACGTAATGGGCCAATGTCGAGGTGGTTTGAAGGGTGCCCAAAGTAAATCTTTGTCGTAAAGACAAAGGAACCTTGAGAACATTGTGTTGAGTGAAATAGGTCAGTCACAAAGGGGCAGATATTGTATGATCCCAATTCCACTCAGACGAGATAGCTAGGATAGCCAAGTCACATGTGGAGAGCAACACTTGATCAGCGGTTACCAGGAACTGAAGGGGGTGAAGGCCAAGTGAGACTCACTGCCTTGGGGACCTTGAGCTTCTGTTGAGGAGGATGGAAACATTTAGGAATGGACAGTGGTGAGGGATGAACGAGATGACGACTAAAATGAAGGCCACTGATTGTATGTGGAAAGCATACTGAAATGTAGTAAATAGGAAATGGTTACGCTGAGGTACACAAAAGTCAGGTTCACAGCCACTGCTCTGAGGGTGGGAGTCAGCAGAGAGCTGCTGGAGGTTTTGGAGAAGCAGCAGAGTTGTGCAGAGCTCCTAAGTCCACCAAATCATACAAGGAATTGTGTGGGTTGAGAGCGGCCTGGGATACTCTGCCGTTGGCCTGGACACAGGTAGACCACCTTTTGGGAAAATCAGGGTGTCAGAATTATCAACAACCTTCAGGTGGTAGTGAGTTTCATCTGAAAAACAGTATACTCCGGGTCTAGCAAAAGGAGGTGCACCCCGGAATCTCAGGGGTCAGTGATGGGGAAACAAGCTCTGTTCAAACTCCGTGGACTTCGCTCATGTGAGACTTGAGTCGAGGGTGTCTTCATTTGCTGATGACACCTAGGAAGCAGCTTCTTATGGAAGCAAAACCCATTTTCCACAAAGCATGATGATGGGGCCCGTGGTTTACAAGGCACAAGGCCGGGAATGGTTACTGTTGGTGGATGCGAGTAACGCTCGCACTGATCCATGCATGATTTGCACACTGATAGATGCTTCCCAGAGCTCCACTGTGCATCCCATTTCATGGTTGCATTGGCAGTCCTGGCATACTCCCCCAGCGATATACTTTTATTAATGAGTAAATTTTCTTTAGTTTATGATCCAACGTTTTACCTCTCTGCCAGACGATTGCCCTTTATGGCGTGTGTTAAATAGTTCAGACTGATAAGTCTAAGGGAAAGAAGCCACAGCAATTTTGTGGAGGACACGACCAACCAGCTGGGGTCTCTGGCAGGTGCGAAGGTTGACTCTCTCAGCTGCTCATGAAAGGGTGGAGGTGAGAATCCACTCCAAGGGGCCTGAGAAGCAAGGCCGGGGCTCTAGGTCTAAAACACCAGCTCTGAAAGCCCCAGGGCGCCCAATTCTTCTCTGACACACATGAGTTGGAATTAGCTCAACATCACCTAAGCAAAACATCAAAACAAGCTGTAGGCATAATTTCAGATGCCATTTTCCTTAAAATTTTCCTCACTTATTCAATTCTCTGTGTTAAAAGTTTCTTTCATTTTTTTCCCTCCCATCTTGATGCCAATTTCCACACTTAACCAAATTAACCCTGCCTTCGACCACGAGTCTAACCCATGTGTCTGGAGCTTTGAAGATTTCAATCTACTGACTCCTCTTTGATTTTTACACCGAGACCACACTCCAAAGTTTCTTACTCTGATGTGTACACGCATTAGCTGATTTTAGACTAAGGGAATGACATGGTCTTGATCCAGTGCAATTTCTTATCTCTCTATGAGTAACGTTTCATCCAAAGTAAGTGATTATTTCTCTTGATGTGATAAATTGTGAGTTGGAAAATAACTCTGGAAATCCGATGGCTTTTAGCTTTTTACAAAAGGGAAACATGACAAGAAAACCTGGTTTGAATCCCGGGATTTCTGCAGAGCGTTGGGTGGAGATCTGGCGAGCATCAACCATAAAGAGGAGCAGCAAGCCATATGGCGGCTGATCACGTGAGTACCTCTTCTCTATTGCAGGCCTTCCTTTGACGGATTTGGTGCAAATGACGTTGAGACTGCCTGCTTTTATTGTAGATCATACTAGGGCTTACAGAGCAAATCAGCTTTTCATTCAACCATTCTTACACATTTAATTTCCTTTCAGTGCAATATTTACTACACAGCATCACTTACCCCACGTCCGCCCCGTGTTTCCGGTTTCCATTTCTTCTTCCTTCTTCACCTTTCCTGCTTTCTGAATGTTGCCCGGGGTCAAAAGCTGTCCTCTGAGCACATAGAAATGGTGCTAAGGACGCTGTACGTTTCCAGTGTTATTGGTCACCATTTATTATTGGACTGATCGCTGACCCATGGAGCAAATAATTCCCTGAAAGATGACTAAGGGCCATCATCTGGGAGTTTCACCAATATGTATCTGACCAGCAAGTCTAGGGTTGTTGTTGTTTTTAATGGATTTAGGTTTTGTTCCATACTTGTCCCCTACACTGTCTAGGACCTTCTAATATAATCCCTTTTGAGTGGTGAGTTTCCAGTTCGGTAGCCCAAAGCTCTAGTTCTTCTGGTCTCAGAGTTGTGGACCCTGAGGTCATGCGATTCATTGGGACGCAGGTGGACCGTCTCCACGTGTCTTCACATTTTTTGACTCCTCTTAGCTCCAGATGGGGAAAGACCAATAGAGCACTTTAGCTGAGCACTATTGAGCTGTTAAGATCCAGTGACTACTCCCTGGGTTGAATGTAGAACAGTGTCTTTGTAGACTGTATTGAGCCAATTGATCTTAGTGTCTCCTGAGATGATGGTCCTGAGCCCCCAGGTCCAACATTGTCTCCTGAGATGATGATCCTGAGCCCCCAGGCCCAACAGCTCCTGCCTATGGAGAGGATTCTTATGTTTTTGAAATTGCTCGCTTGTGATGCTAATGTAAGTATCTGCATTGTATCCCAAATGCATGGGCCTTTTGGACCTGGTTTCATTTTCACATGCTTAATGTCACAGGCATAAATCCAGCCATGGTTTGCTCTATAAAAGTACGAGACATTCAATTTATACATGGTAAATGAGTGCATGAACGACCACCTTTTAATGCTTTATAATTATTTGTTGTTGAACCACTGCCAATTTTCAGGCTCTCTGTGGGTTATACCAACATCTGCATAATGTTCTGATGACAGGAAGTATTGTTAGAAATTATCAAAAGCTTTATTAAAGAAAAAATGTCAAAATGTGAAGTTATTGTTTCACAACACATCCTCTCTCTAGGTCTAAGCACTTTCTATCCTTTCTCCAAAGATTTCTGCACTTTTCAGTTTAACGTCAGTCCCAGGTTAACAGTGCTGGCCCAGCATCCAGGAGGGACTCAAATTATATTCATTTAAAATGGTCTTTGAGTTTGGGAGAACAATCAAAGTCTGAAGGGGCAAGATCAGGCTGTGGGGTTGATGGGGTAAGGTTTAGCAGTGAAGTTCTTGTAATACAGCCCCTGATATCTTCAAAGAATGAGCAGGTGCCTTGTGGCGGTGGGGGGAAAAAAAAATCCAAATCCTTGGCTTAGTTTTCTAGGCCTTTTGACTCCCAATGTAGTTTTTCATTTTCTTAAACTTTCTTCTTCATAAACGTCTGTCCTTTATGAGAATCTGTCAAGATTACCCCCTGTCTGCAGCCACCCACTGATCACAGAGGCATGTTTGAACACACTTTGTTTGGAATAAGCTCATGCACGTAGGAAGTGGAAATGGCATGACAACGCTTTTTGATGTACCTTTGTATTTAATCATGTAAGTCTCTTGTCTCGTGTGCTGCTGTGTGGTTTGGAGGTAACGTGTCAATCTCGTTAGTCTTCCTAGGTTACCGGGTTTGTTTCATGCGCTGGCCTCTGTGCTCCGTTTCTCTAATGTATTGCAGGAGTGGCTCCAACTACCACGAGCTGTTCTGGTTGGGATTGACCTACGCCAGCCCCTCCGAAGGCTTCACTTGGAGCGATGGCTCTCCGGTGAGTGCTTTGAGGTGTCCTTCAGACTTTATCCTGCATTTGCTTTGAGGCTATAAGTTGACTTAACCAAAACATGTTCATAGGCCTGTTCATCATGATAGTTACAGACATTTTTCTCTTTGTGGAGATATAAGAGGTGGGGAGGAGGCTTTTTCTTGTATTATGGCTCCACTCCTGCCCCCATCTAGTTCTCCTTATCTCCCACCTCCAACGTGCTGACTGAATGCAAAAAAATTAGGACGAAACACACATCCATACACTCATATAACATTATTTTTAATCTAAGATACAGAGCTGAGAGTCTTGAACACTGAGCATGTCATAGCTTCTCATAAATCAGCGGAGCTGGGTGTAAGTTTTGAACCCCTGCAGTGGCGGGTAGCCTTGGGCAGCCTTCTCCAGGTCACCAGGGGTGAAATGAAAGGCCCTGGCCCTGGCTGGTGATGTTTGGCGGCTGCAGTCGGCACCGGAAGTGCTGTGATGTAATTCCAGTTCTGTCTTCGCTCACAACCCACCCACATCATGCCCAGCCCAAAGCCCTGTGGGCGGTGATGACAACATTGAGAACTTCATAGACCCACTGCTTTCAAACCAATTCCTTCCTACCCACAGTGATCCCATGGGATGGAGTAGAGCTGACCCGTAGGGTTCCCAAGGCCATAAGCAGACCGCCCCAAACGCTTTGACCACTGAGCCACCAGGGCTCTGGGATCTAAGGCCTGCGTTTGTTTCCGCTGTTCATTGGTCCAACGTTGGAAGCTTAGTTCCTCATGTCTCACAAGTCCTGCTGTTTTGTAAGGAGGACCGCGTGTGTTTTTGTATAAAGAGAAAGCTCGTAACAGCACATTGAAAGAATGTCCCTTAAGAATAGGTTGCAAATTTAGTAACTCCCGATACTGAGGAGTGGAAGCTTTTCCCCAGGTTATTTTCTGCATAGAATTCCTAGTCCTGAATCCATTCTATATGACAGTAAAGTCCAGCCTCTAGGAGTCAGCAGCATTCTCTGTTCAACGGCAAACGTTTCTATGCGATCACATTCCTTTCTCTGCCACCCATGTTTGTAAACTGTGCTTTAAAGCAACGCTGTTTCGCACAGCAAAGTCAACGGGCACGAGTGACAATGTGTTTCTCCTCCCCGGTGTGGACCAATGAGTGCCATCGGTCTGACGCGCGATAAATGATTGCAATGGAATGTTTCTGATACAGGTTTCGTATGAGCATTGGGCTTTTGGAGAACCTAATAATTATCAAAACACTGAATATTGTGGTGAGTTGAAAGGAGACCCCAGCATGTCCTGGAATGATATCAACTGTGAACATCTTAACAACTGGATTTGCCAGATTAAAAAAGGTACGGAGACCGTTTCTTGCCTTTATCATGTGTCGGAGAACAAAACTCTTGGCGCTCCAAGGTCGTCCCTTTACTCGCGAAACCAAACAAGCACAAAATGAAAAAATACAAATCAGGGAACTGTCAGGGGCCATCCCTTCACCAGATAAGAATGAAGTTGCTGAGTGCAGACCAATGTTCCAAAGGGACAGAAGATCAAAGGCCACCCGGGATCCGGGATGATGGTCACGTCCTCCTAAATCATTCCCAGGAGCTGAGATCCTGGCTCAGGTTCTAGAGTGACCAGCCGGAGCAGGAGGGTGTGCACCGCGTTGTAAGCAGAGCTCTGGAAAGGCCATAAAACAACCACAAAACCCCAAACTTTTCACCTTCTCACCTTCTGCCTAATTAATCATCAAAGAAGTGATAGTTTCCCCGAATCTATTCTACATACAAACTTCTCAGGTTCGACACAGAGAACCGGCACCATTTTTAAGCCCTTGATATTATTAGACTTGGCGTGGTGGGAAACGCTACTAACCTCGAGGTCAGCAGTTCAAAACCACCAGCTCTTCCATAGGAGAAAGCTCAGGCTTTCTACCCCCTTAAAGAGTTACAGTCTCGGACACCCACAGGGCCAGTTTTAAAGGGTCCTAGAGGGTCCCCACAAGTCAGGATGGCAGTGATCTTAGTGAACACAAACACATCAACACATCCTATCAGTCCTTATCTGTGACTCATGAGAGCCACATAATCAGAGAGTACTCGGGCCCAAGGATCCAGACTCTTAGGTTTAGATAGATGAAAGCGGATGATAGTTAGATGGAGGGAGCAACAAAGCAACCGACAAATAGGAAGAAGAGAAAGGAAGTAAACACATCAGCCCTGAGACCAACAAATACAAGGGCCTCTTCTGGACAGAGCTCAGAGGGCGGACACCGCCCTCCTGTGGCCATGGGCCTTGGCTGCGCCCTAGGGCCAGGAGTGCACTGGGCTCCTGCTCTCTGGGTGGGCTTTCCTGGCTCTTTCTGCTTTCCTGGGATTTGTGGTTGGCTGGGTGCTGTCCTGTCACTTCTGACTCTCAGAAAGGTGGCCACGTCTTCAAAGGTCTCTGAGTTACCAAGGACTAGTCTCTCTTTCATCGTTTTCGTCGTTCTACGCCTCACAAATCCCAAACCAGATTCATCGAGTCGATTCCGACCACGGTGACCTTTCAGGACAGAGTAGACCTGGCCCTTGTGGCTTTTCGGAGGCTGAACATCTCGACGGGAGTGGAGAGCCTCGTCTTTCTCCTGCAGAGCGGCCGGCCGTGGCTTCCAACCGCAGCCCCTTCTGAAACCCACTGTGCCGCCGGCGCCACTTAAGTATGCCACTCCAACTCAAAGCCAGACTCACTGCCATCGAGCAGTTCCTGATCGCAGTGACCTTGGAGGATGCTGTGGAGAAGGCAGACCTGCCCCTGTGAGTTTCAGAGACTGTAACGCCTGTCTTTCTCTCACTGACCGGGTGGTCATTCGAACTGCCAACTTCGTGGTTTGTAGCCAAATGCTTCCCCACTGCTCCACAGGATGTTAAATACACCAGGCCAAAACACTAGATAACGTGAACATTTTTTTTTATCAGATTCCAACAAAACCCAGATGCACTACTTGGAAAGAAACCACAAGTTACCTTTAATTCTTATTAAAGCATGTAGTTAGCAAGATCCTTGGATGAAATATTTCACGTTTTGCAGATAAATGCTCTATCTTTAATACTTTCAAATAGTGGCGTTTACAATAATTTCACAGCTACTTCAATAATGCCACAGCACAAATATTGATCACACGTTACTTCACTTGTTTATAGCTATCTTCCACGCCTTTGGCAGTTGGCAAAATGAGGGCAAACGCTGTTTGAACCGAGGTGTCCTGATTTCAAATGAATGTTCTTTGCTTTCCTTCTGAGGGTTGTGTCCGGACAGCAGAAGTCCCAGCATGCTTTGCATTTCACTTTCGTTTGTTTTACAGGTCAGACACTAAAACCCGAGCCTACGCCAGCTCCCCAAGACAGTAGGTGTTTCTGTTTTAATCTTTTCCATATGTATAATCCCTTCTTCTTTTCTTTCTCTCTCTTTTTTTCTCCTTCTCAGTGGGAATTACTTGTGCTAAGAAGGTACAGAGCAATAGTTTTTAATATCTTTGAGAATCTCATCAAAGCTCGGGTCTCTATGCCTGGCGCAACCATAAGGCGTGAGAACCAGGACCCCAGGAATACGTGATTATCTGGGGTGTTCTTCCGTAGAACAGAACCACAGTCGAAAGAAGCTGCTTGGCCCTTAAATTCCCTGGAGCTCCTATTCTGCCCTTAAGTATCCTAATCCAGCCATTTGAAAGGTCTTTCTGATCTTGGGCTAAAACTCATTTTCTGGTAATGTCTACTCTTGGGATGAGCGCGCCATGGATGTAAATCTTTCTAGCTGCGCTGGAGGAAGGTAACAGCAGGGTCTGGCACTCAGTCCTGAGATGAGCCGCTGAGCTGGGAACAGAAGGGGCCATTTTATAGGGTTGGTCGAAAGTGGCCAGTTGGCCTTATGTTGTTTGGTGGACACAACACGAATATTTTGCTTATTCTGGCCTCTCACGGTCCCAGTGACCTCTGCACTAGCACCTGTGTCCTCTTCGTGTGGGGCAGCGTACACACCAGGTACTCCATCCATGTACGTAAACCGGATCCCTTTCTGACATCCATTTTTCAGATCCCCAAGTCACTGCAGATGGCTGGATTATTTACAATGAGCAGGAACAGTATTACATTAGCAAAGAGAAGGAAAACATGGACAACGCACGGGCGTTCTGCAAGAAGAACTTTGGGGACCTTGCTTCCATTAAAGGGGAATCGGAGAAGAAGTTTCTCTGGAAATATGTAAGAACAGGATTCACTTACGGATGGGACAGTGGTGTGAGATAAACAACCATGTTGCGTAAGAGAGGCACCCCACGCACCATTTCCAGCGATGTGGCTGGATGGAAACCTTGTTTGGTGGGGAGGATGGTGGGATGCAAAGGAGTGGGAAAGATAGTGGTCAACGACCGTATCGCTCACCTGCTTAGTGCACAATCCCAGGACCCTGAAACAGAGTTTGGTTTGAGCTTTGTGAGGCTCCAGTCTTGATGGCTTGCAGTTCACTAATGTGATTTCCCAATCCTACAGTTCGCAACGAGCTGTTACAAACCTAGCCTTATCTGGCGTATTCCAAACAATGACAAGGGCTCAAGCAAAAGCAAATGTTTTGAGAATGACGAGGGCAACAGATGCACAAATGTGCTTGACACAATGGATGGATGGATGGATGGATTGTGATAAGAGTTGTACGACCCCCCAATAAAATGATTAAAACAAAAAGGCTTCACTGCTATCAAGTTGATTCTGACCCACAGTGACCTTTTAGAACTGCTCTGTGGGGTTTCCAAGACTGTACATGCTTCTGGAAACAGAAAGCTTCATCTTTCTCTGTGGGAGCAGCTGGTGCATTTGAACTACCCACCTGTGGTTACCTACTGCCTAGGTCTTAATCCAACCTGTGGGTCACGACCCCTCTAGGGGTCAAATGACCTTTTCACAGGCGTCGCTCGATTCATCACAGTAGCAAAATGACAGTGATGAAGTAGCAACGAAAATAATTTTATGGTTGGGGGGCGTCACCACCACATGAGGAACTATATGAAATGGTGGCAGCATGAGGAAGGTTGAGAACCATAATCTATTATGCCGCTAGGGATCCGTCCTTTGTAATGTAGAGCTGCTTGGTGATGGATTTTAGATAGTCTATCTCTGTTGGACCAAATGGTTTGCTCTCATAACACCCCTGTAGGAGGCAGTAGATCAATCCCTTTGTTCAGCTTTTACTCTGAGATACATATGGGAGCAAATGGCCAGGTCTTTGCTCCTGTGCAAGGACTGGTGGAGTTGATCGATGTCCTTTTGGTTATCAGCCCTGTGCGTGCCCCACAGTGTGATGAGGGCTCCTTAACCTCTCCTTACAACCTCAAGACCCAACATGGTGGAGCCTTGAGGTTCAGCTCATAGGAACCCCGTTTAGAGTTTCTGAGCTTGTGAGATTTCACCAGACCGAAGGCCTCATCTTTCTTCTGAGCAGCAGCAGTTAGTCTAGAACCGCTGACTTTGTGGTTAAGCAGCCTGTTGCAACCACTTGTACCACCGTGGCTTCTTTGTCCTACTTAATGACTGTGTAGATTCTTGTTGAATAATTTGCATATTATGGAAATAGACATTGAACTATAATATGCTTCTGTGTTTTAGGTAAACAGAAATGATCCCCAGTCAGCATATTTTATTGGTTTACTGATCAGCTTGGATAAAAAATTTAGGTAAGTAAAGCATACAAACTTGATCTGATCAACATTCTGAAGCTTCTACTTGGTTAAAAGAATCCTACGTGGTTCTCAAGATACAAGGGCGTAAAATTAATTTAAAAGAATCCCATTAAGCACTGAACATTATCATTCTCAAGTAAAGCACTCAAACTCCAATTCCATCCTGTAAAACTCCTCTGTAGTTTAGAGTGTCCTCGTGTGTCACTAAGGTGTCCACAAGAAGATGGGTTAGACAGCGTTGAGTACTGCATTGACGTTTCCGATGGTGATCCTGGTCAGAGGGGATTTTAGGGTGCATAACCAAGGGATCCTTTCATTTTGCCCCACTTGCTTGTCCAGCAGCGCTGCCTTGAAGTACTCTCTCGAGTGCACAGAGTACTTGCCCTGCAAAGGACTGATTGTACTGTTTTCCGTTAGATACAGGGGCCAAGGAATGCTTCCGGAGGGAGGAAATTCATCTGGTTTGGGGTTTCTTTCCTTGTTTATTAGCACAGATGTTCTTCCTGGGTTTGAGGAGCAGATATGGATTCCTGGCCCCTATATTTCATTTCACTACTACTGCAAGGTCAAAACTTGAGCTTCTCATTTTATTTTTTTTAAGCTTCTTATTTTTAAGGAGTGGGAATGCTGCTTAGACAAGGCCCTGTTTCTGCAAAATGAGAGATTCAGATTGGAGGATTTCTAGGTCCTCTTACAGCTGGTCCCAACCAAACCCACTGCCAACCAGTTGATAACAACTCACAGTCAGGCCCGAGGGTGTCTGAGACTATGAATCCTTATGGGAACAGGTAGCCTCATCTTTCCCTCAAGAGGCAGCTCATAAATTTGAACCATTCACTTTGTAGTCAGCAGCCCAGTGCTTACTGGATAGTGCCACAGGGCTGCTTTCCAGCTGTGATAGCCCCTGAACTTCTAGGACTTATGAAAATGAGCCCTTGCCCACGTGCCCGAGACGACAAATCCCCAGGAAGTGTAAAAACCCGGGAATGGGTATCATGAGAAATTCTAGACCCTCTGCCTCTTTCGTGGTTTTGTTTTGGGAGAATCAGGCCTGAAGAATCCCTTGGAGGAAGTGTTGCTTCCGGCCCACTTCCAGGGTAGAATTGGGATTCTGTGTTGCTTTATCCTCATTAGGAATAAAGACAGCTTCTTTGTAAGAGGGACAAGAAGACAGATCGCCAAGGCACCAGGGTTGCCACAGAGAAGCACGGGAAAGGAAGCGCCAAGCACTGAGGAACCGGGGGGTTTCCCGCCAGTGTTTTCTAAGTCCACATCTTCTGTTCCCAAGGATCTCTTCGTCTTGATTGATCAGCTTTCCTGGTCTCCCTACTACACGATAGATAGCCAATTATTCTAACCATTGAACTGATGCGAGATGCCTGAATTTTCTTTTCCAGTTGGATGGATGGAAGCAAAGTGGATTTTGTGGCTTGGGCCACAGGTGAACCCAATTTTGCAAATGATGACGAAAACTGTGTCACCATGTATTCAAATTCAGGTAGACAAGCCGAAGATCTGTTTGCCTTCGCCTTGGGATGGGATGGGATCGCCCACATCCCTCAGTTACGGTTTGGCCAACTGCATACTTAGCAGAGACGAGCAAAGCGAAAGATGCCTAACGTTTGCCCTCACCCACGAGCTGGTCAGCACTTCTGAGACACTGTGCTCATGCTCAGCTTTGGAGAAAATATGCAGAATATGTCTCTCTGTCTCTGCCCATTTCTCTCTAGCTGTGAAATGGGAATAAGAATAGAATTTGCTTAATCTGTTGCTGAGAGAATTCAATGAGATAATTGGTCTACCTGGAACACCAAGCAGATGTCAAAATACAGCTCAGGTATTATTAACCCATTGTTAACTACCGTATATACTTGAGTGTAAGATGACCCAAATATCAGCCGAGGCACCTTTACCACAAAGATGGCATTAAAAATATGCTGGGAAAACTCGGCTTATACTCAAGTATATACGGTACTTAGAACATACACCTGAAACACCAAATGCGTGCTTGGTTCCTAGAGAGCACTCTCTTTAAGCTTCACTACAATTCATCTCTGAGACAGAGCTGAGGGATATTGCATATATTCTTCTCGTCACTCACGTAGGCAGGCTAAACGATTTTTTTGAGATTCCCTCTGAATTCATTTTTTAAACCGTGTTTGTAAGCACACACCTGCAAATTGCACGGGGCCTTCTGTTCTTTCGCAGGGTTTTGGAATGATGTGAATTGTGGTTACCCACATGCCTTCATTTGTCACCGGCACAACAGCAGCATCAACAGCACAGCCCTTCCCCCAACCACAGCTCCGGCCCGAGGCAGGTGTGCAGAAGGCTGGGCCTTTTACAACAACAAGGTACCCGAAGAAGAAGTAGTTGTCATCTCAGCATCAGTTAGTATGGAGAATGGCAAAGCAGTTTAGTTCAACCATTAACGTAGGCTTCCTGCACTGCTATAGACAATTTGGGGCATGGAACAGGTAGCAATTTCCCAGACACCTTCTCTATTGAAATTGAGAACATTCCTAGAAAAAGGTGACCTCCACTGATACCAGTTGTCCCAAAGGAAAATGTGATTCATAAAATGTCATCTTAGAAAGAAACTTTGTGTGTCTTAAAACCAACAATTAAAAAAACCCCAACACTTTGATTTGGGGGTGATAAAGTTTATATGTGCTGTAATGGAGCCCTCGTGGTAGGTGTAATGTAGTAGACTACCCACACTGAACTGGTAACCACAAGGTCTGTGGTTTGAAGCCACCAGCCGCTCCACGGGGGAAAGATGGGGCTGTCTGCCCCTGTAAAGATTTGAAGAGTCTGAACCCCACAGGAGTAGTTCCACTCTTCCCAGTAGGGCCACCCTGAGTCAGAATGGGATGCACGGCAGGGAGTGATCATCTTTATGAATACTTTAAACTGTTATTGAGCTAACCCGACTGCAATTTATTGGTTTGTTTGCTTGTCTTTGCTTTCGACACCACTTTCTCCCTTTCATTTCAGTGTTTAAAAATCTTTGGATTTGTGGAAGATGAAAGGAAAAATTGGCATGAGGCTCGAACGGCTTGCAAAGAATTTAAAGGAAACCTAGTATCTATCCTCAATGAAAAAGAGCAAGGTATGCAGGCTGCTTTACAATCCCTGATGCGTTTAAATGTATCACAGGAGAGGATCTTTTTTGATGTCAGATGGATCCTGGATGAATACCAGAAAGATGTTTACCTGCCTTTTATTGACCAGACAAAGGATCATAACAAACTGGATAACATTGAGCAAAAAGGGAATTAAAAGCATTTAATCGCACTCATCCGGTTCCTACCAAATCAGCCCACTCCTCAAACAAAGAAGTAGAAGCAGTTTTAGGGATGACAGGAAATTTTTCATGTCCTGCACTCCTAGTCGCCTGATCACACACCAGGCAATAAAACTAATATCACACATATAAAATGTTAACCTATTGAGAAAAAAATCTTGATAACACATATAAGAATATAGCAGAGTTATGAAGCAGGGTGGAATCGGAGGAAATTCAACTATCCATATAGCAAGCAGATTACAAAAGCGGTAACACCACTATAAAAGGAGAGCCACCTAGTGTTGTCTGTCAGTGACCATATCTGAGGCACATGGTCGATGAAGTTTGACAAATTATGTTCAGCGTGATGTTGATCCAACAAAGGTGAGTCAGATTGCAATGGGTAACGGGCGGAGTACTCTGAACACTATAGCGGGTGAGGGGTGTTGAAAAGACTGCTGGGTTAGGTGGCCTCAAAAGCAAGGAGGTGGGCCCTAAAAGGATAACCCTGTGGGGTCCCAGAAAGAAGATTGCGAGTCAGGAGGTGGAAGTCACAGGAAGTTCAGACTCAGAATGAAGAGGTGGTTCTGTCAAGCAGAACTGATGGAAGGGGTTGCTTTGTGAGGACAACAAATTTTCTTTACAAAGCATTGAGGATGCCCTGATGAGGACGAAGGCGTGACCGAGCCAGGCCACGGCGTTTTCAGTGGTCTCGTATGCATGTGAAAGTTGGAAGATAGATAAGGACCCTTGTAGACGGATTGATGTATCGTAATGATGGATACATAGAGAAGAATATTGAAAGACTGCCAGAGAACAAATACATCCATCTTGGCCAGAATGCTCCTTAGAAGTGCAGGTGGTGAGAAGTGGACCCCTGTATGTTCGACATGTTATCAGAAGAGACCAGTCCCTGGCAAAGGGCATCATGCTTGGCACTTCCAAAGAGGAAGATCCTCAAGGAGATGTATTGACACCGTGGCTGCAGCAATGGGCTCAAACATAACCATGTTTGTGAGGGTGGTGCAGCACCGGGCAGTGTTTCCTTCTGTTGTACATCAGGTTGCTATGAGTCAGAAACAACTTGATGGCCCCTAACCAAAGCAAACTCAACTGGATGCTAGGTAGTCATATGTTGGCGGGTGCAGAGCATAAAAGATGCCGACTAAATGTTTACTGTACATAGAATTTGTAAGCATGCTGGGACATGTGGACTGGGTATTTCCTTTTTGGTTCTGAGGTTTTTCTTACTTCCAAAGTCATATTTCCAGTATAAAAAAAGATACATCTCAAAAATTATAAGAAGGAAAAAGGATGCTAGAATCCTGAGGGGCTAGGTCCTAAGAGTTTCTTTTTCTTGGCAAAGGCTTCCATGGGCTCTCTTGGGACACAGGGTACAAAAAATCATCCAAACCTTCACTGAGAACTGGTGATGAGTTCAGGAACTTGTTGGACCCTGGAAGAAAGGCGTCAAACCTTAGTACATGTTAAAAATGGTCAGGATACTACTGTCCCAGTTCTCCAACCGGCCTTCCACATTTGGGGCTTAGCTATCCAGCAGAGAAACACTCACTGATTTCCTCTCCCAGCCACAAAGTGCCGATTCCTGCCATGCCAAAATCAGAACCTGGGTCATAGAGATGCACAGAAGGAAACAATTTTCGGATAAAATAACATTATTTCTGGCAACCCCGGCACACGTTGTTGATTTCTCAGTGTGGTTGTTGGCAGAGAAAAAAATTCAGTGTTAAAATATTGGCAGGTAGAGCTTGTCCACATTTCATGTTAGGTTGGGAATCAGGCACAAGTTAGACTCTTTTTTTTTTTTTTAAGGAAACAAAACAGAAATAAGTCTCTCTTTGAAAGCATCTCTTTCTGCACATTGTTGGATGGGTTTTGTTTGTTTGTTTGATTACTGTGGCTCTTCTGTGGATTGTCGGTTCATAAAGAAATAGCATCCTATCCCTGTGGGCTTTTATATATCTTGAATTTTCTAATAGCAACTCCAAGTGCTTAGTTATTCAACTTCCTATTGACATTCAGGAAGGACGGCGAAGCTTAAGGGTTTGCACATCGTTCTTCCACAGGGTAGAGGGCCATCCATGTAGGAGGCCCGTGCTCCTGGCAGTTGTGGGACGAGTGTTGCTATGAGCCGCTCTGAGACTGCTCCTGACTCATTCTGGATGAAACCAGTGCTTCCCTGTCTGGGGCCATGCTCATGTATGGCTGCTGACCAGCAGGGCACTCCGACAGTGTACACAATCCTATGCTGGGACCCAGATTCTAAACAAACAACCAAACTAAAAAACGTAGCATGTCAGGTGTTCAGAACCTTGACAGAGTCCCAAACTGTAGTCATAACCCTTTGCTAAGGATAGACTAAGGAGCCCTGGTGTCACACATGTTGGCTGCTCAATGAATGGTCGGCATCTCCAAGACAGTAGCCACCGTGTGGGGAGAACGCCGAGGCGGCATGTTTCTGTAAGTAACGGCAGCCTTAGAGACCCTGCAGGGCAGTTCTGGCATGCTCTACAGAGCCGCGTGTGTCCACTGGAGAAGACTAGGTAAGGTTGGAATGTGCTTTTTACAAAGAATAAAGATGTGAATGCCGTTCATGATGTTGACATCAACCTATGTTAGAGACTTCCTACATTTTGAATCCTTTCCCCCAAAGCTTAAAATTATTTTGTGAACTTTTCTTCCAGCCTTTCTTACCTATAGTATGAGGGGATCCAATTTTGATGCTTGGATTGGGCTGAATGATGTCAATTCCGAGCACACATTCCTTTGGACAAATCAGCGGGGAGTTCATTACACAAACTGGGGGAAAGGTTATCCTGGTGGAAGAAGAAGCAGTCTCTCTTATGAAGATGTAAGTATCAGTTCAGGGCCACCTTTCTCAAAGGCATCATATTAGTGATGAACTGTCTATGGGAAATCCCCCGGAGGATTCCCTGATCCAGTTCCTTCTTACTGGTTTCAGCTATTTCAAACGGAGCCCACCTTGAGAGAAGGAATGTAGATTCAGTTAATGATTCTTTGGCTTGGGGGTGTATGTGGAGGTGGGAGCAGATATGCTTGAGGAAGTAGGAAAACCCAGTGCCAATCTGGAACGCTCTTGTGATCTGAACCTACGCTTGAATCTAGAGTTAGCAGCTTTGTTTGCCCCAGTTGTCCCTAAATTCTTGAAGAGATTGCAGCATTAGGGGTGTAGGTGGCGGGGCCGCTACTGCTTTTACAGATGCGAGCAGCAGCAGCGCTATTGAGCTTGCATTCTGTAGATAGTGATGGTGTGCTGGCACTGCACTAAGTACCACTGACCATTAACTTAAGCGAGACGATGACCACTTTTTCCCTTACGTGTGGAACAGCCCGCCAATCGATGCCAAACACCGTGCTACTGGCATTGAGAAACACAAGAAGAAACGTATGGTTTCGTTTTTACCTTAAAGGAGTTCACGCTTAAGCTAGACTGCCAGTATATTCTCATGTATGGAAGAAGATAGTAAAGAAGTAAATGTAAACAAGGACAGCGTCAGCTAAAAAGCACGGCAGTAGCTAAGAGGAAGATACTTGGGGTGAGATGAAGTCGTAGACATTTCCGGAGACTTTCATTTGTACAAAATGCTGCCGTTGCGTGCCTAAGTGGAGGGGAAGTGCATGAAGAAGCACCAGCTATGGCTCTTGCTTCTAAAGAGCATAAAATATAATACCAGGAGAGCTCAGCAAGAGGATGAGGGGGCCATGCTGAGGGACAACGCAAGCAGTCTTCAAGAACAGGGAGAGAGTAGGTTTGAGCAGAAACCAGTGGCCTGGGCTGTAGCAGTAGTTTCATACAGAGGAGGCCTTGACAAGGAAGTCTGGTGTGAGGTTAGGACCTCCATGTGCTCGCTCAGTTACTAACCCAAACGCTGGAGGGTCAAGGCTGCTCCAGGGAAACTCAGCGGAAAGGCCTGGCGATCTGTTTCTGAACAAGCCACCAAATCAGGCATCCTGAGTTGGAGTCTACTGGACAGATGAGCTAAGCTCCCTAGAATCCATTAAAATCATTTAATTTTCTTAGCACACTTAAAAAAAAGGGAGTATATTCCTTGTAGGTTAAGTCTATGTGAATGAGACAAGGAGACCCATGTGTGTCAGTGTGTATTAAAGTGGAGAAAATGGACACCCCAGAGTGAAGGAATGATGGGGGTGGAGGGCGTAGGGATGTGGGGTGTGGGATGTGTGTGTGCAGAGGTTGTGGGGCACAGATGAGGAGATAGAGAGAGTACATGCATATTATAAAGTGTGCATTTTATGGATATCAAGTTTCAAAACGAAAGGGGAAATGGCAGACGTAAATTAGAAGTGAAACTTGAGAGCTCAAAAAACAAATTCCCTCGGGACCAATATTGAGAGTAGCCATACTAGGAGGGGAAGGGGAAAGTGGTGGGAGAAAGGAGGAACTGATCGCAATGATCTGTATGTAACCCCTTTCCCAGCGGAACGGACAACAGGAAAGTGGGTGAAGGGAGACATTGGTCAGTGTAAGACATGAAAAAATAATAATAATTTAGAAATTATCAAGGGTTCACAAGGGAGGGACAGTGGGGGAAAGAGGGGTGAAAACGAGAAGCTGTTAGTAAGGGCTGAAGTAGAAAGCAAATGTTTTGAGAATGATGATGGCAACAAATGTACAAATGTGCTTGACACAGTGGATAGATGTATGGATTGTGATAAGAGATGTACGAGCCCCAATAAAATGATTACCATATATACTCGAGTATAAGCCAAGTTTTTCAGCACATTTTTTTTGGATTTGCATACATACATATTTATTGTGTTTATGTATCTGTTAGGTTTTTTTTATAATCAATTTATTGGGGCTCATACAATTAATCACAATACATAGATCAATTGTATAAAACACATCTATACATTTGTTGCCCTCTTTCAGCACATTTTTAATGCAGTTTTTTTGTGGTAAAATTTGGTTGCCTCGCCTGATATTCGGGTCGACTTATACTCAAGTATATACGGTTTAAAAAAACAAAAAACAAATTCCTATAAGTTGGGTCTGGTGTGCCTATTGGGTTAATGTCAAATCTTGTACCTGTGGGAGATTCCCAGTAAATGGCCACTATGTCCATGCCGGTAATCACCTCTATGCCGAGAGAAGGGTAGCAGTGGCTTAATGCTATGGCACGTCAGGTGTGTATCTACATGGACACTCTCAGGTACAAGAAAATGACAGCTCAGTTTAAACAGTAAGATACCTGTACTATCTCTCCTGACAGAAAGTCCTGGGTAAGAGAGGTTTGTTACCATAATTCATTGAGATGAAGATGCCATTGATGGAAGAGTTCATGATTGTTTGATAGCAAACAGCCCTGCCAATCAGACTCTGAAATGCTATTGATTATGAGATGGAGGTTGTGCTTCTTTCTCTTTAATGATAATTCTGGGTTTAGATGATTCTGGGCGATTCTGAGAATTCCTCTAGAGACAATACTGTGTTCTCCTTATCTTCCTAATTTGTTTGGTCCTCGAGTTATGATAGCAATTCATAACATGTCCGATTGCAGGGCGTCACAAGCCTATCTTCAAAGGTATCCAAACCTGTTTGGTTTCTGAATTCAAAAATCAAGAGTTCAGATGTGAGGGACCCCATGGAAAGTAGGGGCAACTGCGTGAAATGTCACGATGGATTTAGCATTCTGAAAATGAATGTGAACGGTCTTAAAATTTGGTGGTTGTGCACAGCAGAGGGATTTTTTAAATTAATGAATTAATTTAAGTCACGGCCAACTCACAGTTGTTCTCCTTTTCTTCCTCCATGAACACACAGGCTGACTGTGTTGTTATGATTGGAGGCAAATCCAGGGATGCAGGACAATGGATGGATGTTCCGTGTGACAGTAAGCGAGGCTATATATGCCAGGCACCACTTGGTAAGTTCTACCCTACCCTGCCGGTGGGAACCGGCTCTTTCCATGCCTGTTTGTGAAAATAGGCATATATTATACCGCTATCTGTCTATCTCGCTGTATGATATAAGGCCCCTCCTGTGACATCCTCATACGTGTTCTTCTCTCTGAGCGTTTCGTTGCAGCCACTGTGTCCATCGTCCTTTTGTTTCCTTTTTAATCATTTTATTGGGGACTCCTACAACTCATCACCATCCACCCATCCATCCGTTGTGTCAAGCACATTTAGACAGCTGCTGCCATCATCATTCTCAAAACATTTGCTTTCTACTGGGGCCCTTGGCATCACCCCCTCATTGTTCCCCACTCTCCCCCCTCCCTCATGAACCCATCTGCCTCTTTTTGGCCGTCCCTCTTCTTTACCAAGCATGATGTCCTTCTCCGGGGACTGTCTCTCCTGAGTGCAGGTCCATTTGTGCTCCCATTTTGCCTGTACATCTCCCAAGAGAGATTCGTTTCTGCTTTGGTCAGTCTGTGCTACTTCCAGCTTCTTTCGTAGAATTTCCTGGCACAGCAATAGGTTGGTTTGCGTCTCTAAGTCTAGGTTTATGTGTCACAGCAAAAAGAATGAACGGGCCCTCTAACTTATCGTGCAAAGAATCCAAAGGCCTTCAAAACTGTGGGATGTGCCATTCTCCTTCCATCTCATTT